TGAAATTCAGTACACGAATAGACTTATGACCTGGTACCCAGATGGCGCCAGAGCGTAACAAGAGTAAGTCGCAAATTTACCATAAAACTTTACCATCGCTTTAAATGTTGAATTTCATAAATATTTTTATACCATGTTCTTAAAAGATTACGTGTCGAAATTCTCCCAGCTCATCCAACAATTCCGGTGATGAGTCAGTTAGTCTATTAAATATACTTGTAGATTTAGACGATTTAATTGAATAGTATATACTATAATATAGTGTATCTGGCTAACCGCAGACACTGCTTGCTACGTCGAAATTAGGTTAACTTTTCTGCTGTTTTTGTTAGCCACACAAGTTTTTCGGTCTGATTAAAGCATATATTATACAATGTACTCCCTACACCCGGAGATCTTGTGAAGTATATAAGTGATAATTCCCATCAATAAATAATAAATATAGTTTGTATATTTTTAATCGACTTCCAAAAAGGAAGTTCTCAATTCGTTGGAATCTTCTTTTTTTATCTAAATAACGAAGCTACTCGCGAAGTTTCAGCTTGATAATGGACTGAGGATTATAATTACAACTAACAACTGAACGTTAATTAAGTAAAATGTTAACTGCATCATTGTAAAATGTAAGAACTACTTTAACATCCAAAAAGTCCAGCCTTCGTGAAAATCCTCCTCTTTTAAAGGTTTTTTTTATTTAAGTGTTATAGGGAACACACAGGACGTACGCTTTAAGTAATATGCTCCATTATTTATGTGATATATTAAACAATAAAATTAATTTAAACTAGTTCATAATTACATTTGATGGAATTTTTTAATTAAGAAGAAAAATATTTCGACGCAACAATATTATATTGAAATGACGTTTTTTCAGGAATTGAGGCCAACCCTATAATATTAAAGAATATCGGTAGGAATCTGTCATAATTTGTACCTTCGTGTTTATAACCTACGAAAGTTAAATAATAATTAATTAATCAAAAAAATATAAGAAAACAGTAACTATTTTCTCATATTTTTCGATTTCGATAAAGAAAATAGATACCAGCACAAAGCCAATCACTTCACTCCAGTCGATGATACCGACTTGGAAATAAGCGGTCGGTAGAGCGTGCGCCAGGCGGCAGTAGGCAGTCACGCACCTAGTTCAATCGATTCAGCAACAGGTCCGTTGAAGCGCTCTCTCCCTACTCGTATTTACAACCCAAGAAGGTCTGCCAAATTATCAGATAGGGCTCGTAGTATAATTTATAATTACTATGAATCCTAACGAGTCTTGAATTATTCTACTAAAAAACGGTAAAATGAGCAAACTTATTGTATTAACTAGTATAGTATTGTAGTAACTTATTTTTGTGGGACACTTAATAAGTCTTGTTTTTATGTGTTATTTTTTTTATTTGAAAATATATTATGTAATGAAATACATTGTTGCTTTTTAGGGTTCCGTACCTCAAATGGTAACAAAAGAACCCTTATAAGATCACTCTATTGTCCGTCAGTCGTCTGTCTGTCCGTGTGTCACCACAGATTTTCTCAGGAACGGCTGGACCTAGCAAGTATATAAGATACTGAGGTTTATAGTCCCTAATAGGTGTATAAAAATCAAGGCCTTGAGTCAACACGATAAAAAGATATGGGCAAATTTAGATTTTCGCGAAAACTTGTAAGAACCAAAAGTTACCTTAATTTTCAATCTTCCCTTCTGCTGTAAGACCTTTCTTTTAACCAAAATTGACAATAATTCTAGGTCAACCGCAAGTAATTACCCTATTTTGGGTTAGTATTTTGGGTCAAAAACCTATATGGTAGTTACCGTTGACCTAGAATCATGAAATTTGGCAAAAAGCAAGGTCTTACAGCACAAATAAAGGAAAAATTCCAAAAAATAAAAAAGGTTGAATATTAAACAGATTTCCTATTTGTACGGAACCCTCGGTGGGCAAGTCCGACTCGCACTTGTCCGGATTTTTTTTAGAAATATAATATACCCAAATAATACGGAATATGATAAAAACTTTTTAACAAAAAAATAAAAACCGACTTCAAACAAAAGCACTAAAAAGTAACAAATAACTGATTGGTAGTTTTCATTTACTATACATACCTAATCAAATATTTTCGAAGTCGGTGTGCTTTGCTTTGTATGGGCTGGCACCGATTTCGAAAATATTTGATTAGGTATGTATTTAATAGGTAGGCTTTAATTACTTAGCCAAAGCACACCGACTTCGAAAATATTTGATTAGGTATGTATGGTAAATGAAAACTACCAATCAGTTATTTGTTACTTTTTAGTGCTTTTGTTTGAAGTCGGTTTTTATTTTTTTGTTAAAAAGTTTTTATTTTTCCCTTTTTAGTGTAGACAGTAGTAGCAAAGTAAGGATTCTAACGTGTTAGGCTTGTCAAATCAAACAAAATAAGCCCAAACTCAAAGTATCTACTATTAGCCGTTGAAGAGTTCCACCTATCCACCTTCTGGCCTTGCTATCAGATCAGGTCAACAACACCGAACCACTGTACTATCAACGGAAATAGAAATACTTGCAAAGTTTCAAGTCAATATGACAATTAGAAGTAGGTTAAATTCATCATTAGTTGTTTTTCCACCCTTAGGGGTAGTATTTTTTTTTTTAAATTTAAATGGGACCAATCTGGAAGTACACCCTTTCAAACAAAACAAAAATTGTCCAAATCGGTTAATAAATGACGGAGTTCTGAGGTAACAAACATAAAAAAAAAAAAACATACAGTCGAATTGAGAACCTCCTCCTTTTTGAAGTCGGTTGAAAATAAAACAAAATGTTTCTTTAAAAAACTGAACAAAAACACTAACATTTTTTTCTCCAAAGAGCTATAACATATTTTTAACCGACTTCTAAAAAGGAGGAGGTTCTCAATTCGTCAGATTATTATTTTTTATGTATGTTCACCGATTACTCGGAGACGCCTGAACCGAATTGGATTATTTTTTATTTTAAAGGGTATATACTTCCCATATAAATTTTATCGAAATCAGTCGAGCGGTTTTTAAGTAAATCAACAATAAATTATTTTTTTTTAAATAAATTTTTAATCGAGTGTTATTAAAAAACTTTCTTCTTACAAATTACCTGCTACATCTACACTAAAAATTACATATACATAAAAAAACATAAAAAAACCGACTTCCAGGCACTAAAATGTAAAAAATAACTAAACGTTGGTTTCCATTTAGAATAGATACCTAATCAGATATTTTCAACATCGGTGCCAGCCGACAATGCTTTAAGATATGAATATCTAATAAGTAAATATGTATTTTACGTATCGAAATATATTCGATTTGCTTTGCATCGGCTGGCACCGACTTTATAAAAATGTGGTTAATAAAGTACACTTTTTCAATGGATCAATTTAGGAGCGACATTGTTTTTGTTTCTTCGAAAAGTGTAGAGTTCAAGTCGAAAGAAATGAGGCAATCCTAAAAATTGAATGATTTTTTTTAAATGTAAATAAATATCCACTTGAAATTGGGAATGATTTTCTGCCTCCCGAGACCATAAAACATAAATTTCTTAGATACAGCTAAATATTTCAATTTTATATGTATATATTTCAATTTTATGTGTGTATTTCGAAGATTACATTCCCCTAGTTCCATTAAAATTTAAAAAATATATAACAGAAATTAAAAATAAAAAACCAAGAAATAAATAAAAAATGGGTTTTTTTCAAATATCTCTAAAACTTCTTTTATTATGGAAGTTATTGTAAAAAGCATCATTTATAAAAGTTGAAGATTTTTACTAGACATACAACTTTTGAAGAGAACATTTTTCGATAGGACGTCACAGTAAGCCGGAAATTGAAAAAAAAATTTTTTTTAATGATTTTCATGCCCTTATTTCTCGGGGGTAGCTTGACATCGGGGGTATTTTACGGATTTTTTCCTTATATACCTCCTAACGTTTTGAAAATATACAACTTCAGATTTTTTTTTTTGTTCCCAAACCGGATTCCGATCGTACTAACGAGTATGTATATAAAAGACTTAATTTTATTTTATTGCTATGACAGACATGATTTCTATTTCAGTCAAAATAGTGCAAGTAGGTATTTTTTTTCTATTGACGAATGTTCGGCATTTAAATTCGGCATTCGGCCGAAATTCGGTTAAACCGAATGTAAAACGAATTTCGGCACATCCCTAGTAACCATACTAGTAACAATAAGACTACAATACATAGCTGTTAATGAATACATACACAAGATCAATGAAATATGGTTTATTATGAGTTTACCCTAGTTTGTGCTAGACAAACTGAGAAATCTTACTTTAAAAGATATGTTCTTATTATAAAACTATAATAAAGTACTTTGTAAGGGTAACCTGTCTCTAAATACCTTCTTGTAATACCTCAAATTTTAATGGGACCCTCAATATATACCAACATAAAAATAATATACATATGTGCGACTCTCACTAATGAATTCTGATGTGTGCAAGGAAAATATTGATGATAGATTGCTCTATTAATGTATGAATAAAAAGTTCTTTCAATGATTAAAAATTTAATTTAACCTTTTATTTTATCAATGTATATTTTTTATATACATATCTTTAAAATAGACATAAAAATTAAAATACACATATACATAAGTACATTGGCACACTAATGTGGAGTACATTACTACTATGTATAAATGTATTTAATTACAATTTTTAACATAATAAGTTATATTATGTTAATAAATAGTTAAAAATAAATAGTTTTTGAGGTTGTTTAATCATTTTATTCTCAAAATTATGTATTTTATACACTCATTGAAGATTACTATTATTTCACATTTTTATGCCATCCATAATATAGATAAGGAGCTGAAGACTTAAGATTTTTAGAAATAAATTGTAAATTTAAAATTTTATTAATAAAGATTATTTTTACAACGCAACAATTTGATAGGCTTTAAGTGCGATATTCTAAAATTTTAAATACATGTGATTTATATGAACATCATGATAATTCTAATGGTTTATCAAAATTTATTGCTAAAACATCAGGTGTTCTCAGTAAGGCAGATGGTATAATAATATTAGCTGGAGTTTTCAGATCACTAACCAGTATTTCAGAACTATCAGGTTTCCAACCTGAAAATTTTGCTTCAAGAGTAGACTGTTCATATGTAATAATATTACATGACTCTCCTAGAATTATTAATATGCATTTATTAGAAACATACCTGTTAAAAAGCATTTAAAATATAGGAAATTCCTACATTCTAAGTAAACTGAGATATAAAGAATTGTTATATACTTATAACTCATCATAATTTTTGAAAAAAGCAAATCTTTACCTCTTAATTCACTAATAGCTTTCAGAAAAGATTCTCTTAGCTTAGCTCTTGCCTCTTGTACAGATATTTTCTCTTGTTCAGGTGTTGACTCCTGAACAGAAGTCATTTTTGATATACTAATTTCTTAAATTAAGAAAACTAGTTACTTTTTTTATTTATATAAAATAAAACAAACTTCACATAAACAATAAAATAAATTTATTCTAATTATTACGAATTATAACGGAAGTTTTAAAATTTGTAACGTCAAGGCTCAAAAAACTGACTTTTAACAGTTGACACTGACATGTTTTGGTGTTTAATAACAGACTATATATGCCGTAAGCCGTTCCTTAGTATATTAATGTTTATTATTTGTCTATGGTAGGTATATAAAATTTGATTAGATACTACATGAATATTTATAGATATCCGTAAATAATATGGAATAACCATTATCAAAAATGAGATAGCGTAGCATATCAGCATTGCAGCTACAAAACAAAGCACAATTTTAAGCAAATTCAGTGTGCTATTAAATTATCGATGTACTAGTACATTTTGAAATTTACATGAAAAAAGGCAGTGGTAGCCCAGTGGTAACCCTCTCGCTTGGGAAACCGAGTGAAGCGGGTTCAAATCCCGGGTCTCGCACCTCTGATATTTTCATGTGCGAATCATTTCTAACATGATTACCACTTGCCTTACGGTGAAGGAAAACATCGTGAGGAAACCTGCATGTCTGAGAGAACTTAGCAAGTTTTCGAAAGACATGTGAAGTCCGCCAACCCGCACTTGGCCAGCGTGGTGGACTATGGTCTGATCCCCCTCGTATTGAAGGGAGGCCCGTGCCCAGCAGTGGGACGTTAAAAAGGGCTGAATACAATACAATAGTACATTTTTAACCGAGCTAGCTAGCTTGCTCATATTTTTCGACCTTGCCAAATAATAGTAATTATTGGATAAAATAGATTGTACTTTCTGAAATAAAGATGTTTACAATTATATTCATTTAATTTTGCCTCGTCAAGATATTCATTTCTATATTACAATTAAAACATTAATAAATTTAAAGACGATTGATTATATCGCATAATCATATTAATCGACTTTAAATTTATGATATGATGTCGATATACAAGGATAAATAAAACAAAATTTATTAATATTAATTTATTAATATGGACAATCCCTATTGGTTCACATATTTAATTTCATACAAAACAAATTAATCACAATAATGTTATAGCGAAATAAAATGTTCTATAAATACCTGAAGTCACTCCTCAGTGGAATCTGGTTTATACAAATAACCTCCCTAGGGATAAAACATTTGGCGAGGTAGCTACAATTTTACACTTCTTACAATCTACATGGAAATTATAACAAGTTTAATAATTATAATTAGACATCGACATATGCGTAAAATCAGTGGACTTTGTGGGGGATATTTTATAATTTTACTGTATGAGGTTTTCTTTTATCAAAAATAGAATATTTTGCCTAATTTCATAAATCAAGATATAATATGGTAACTTTTACCATACAAAATAAAAAAGGAACATAAACGTATATTTTTACTACTTCTGTTTTTTTAAAGTCATAATTTTCCTCATTAGTGCATATAATCGGATGTCTATTTATTTAGGAAAGTTACATGCATTTCAGTAAATCATCATGGAAAATTGTTATATTACACGAAACTAATCTATGTCACCTCGAAACCGATGTGCAAAGTGACGGTTCTAACGACGAATGTTTTCGTCTCTTCGATGCTCGATGGGCAATTTCATAAGTACCTCATTTGTCTATGGTTGAGTCGCTTGCGCCGATGATCTTCGTCTATGGTTTGCAACTGAAAAGCCCATCGATACACTAGTAACGAGAATATTAGAATATTTTAATGGAAAAACTGTCATTGACAGAGAATCTTTTTTTATTTCTAAATCGTACTCGATCATTGTCAGTTTATTCCATGTGGGATGAAGGGTATTATTAGATAGCATATAATATGGCATCAAGTGGCAGAAGTTAAAAAAAAAAAAAAAAAAAAAACAAAATAAATTATAATGAACAAAAACTAAATATTAATAACTAATCTGGTTTCAAAACTTGTTGCCATATGTGGGTACCTGGAAATGCACAGAAGATGATGTAAAAACAGCATCCTTTTTGTGAAACAAGAAGCATATGGAACATGCTTCCTTCACTTGTCCATTTTGTTTACCTATTTGACGGAAATGCCTAAAAACGACGATGAGACTTGTTTGGAGGACATCAAAATAAGAGTTTTGATTTAAAGCGACTTTTTACAACGCCCTAAAGGTTTCATCTAGAGCCTAATACCCAAAACCCAGTGCTGAATTTACACTAGGGGCACTCGGGGCTAGTGCCCAGGGCGGCAAATGTTTAGGGGCGGCAAAATTCAAGAGGGTGAGAAAAATTCTACGTGTTATCGAAAATGTTTTTTTTTTATTTTCCAAAAAAGTTATAATAAATAAAAAATTTAAACTTTCAACATTTTATTCAAAATTTCGATAAAACGCCGGCATTTTTTACTATGCCTAGGGGCGGCTCTAAGGTTAAATCCGGCACTGCCAAAACCTATCAAATACCTTTAGAGGCATTTGAGATCTGCGTCAGCTGTCTGTTGGACCCGAAAACCCTGATACGAAATAACATTAAAAGTACCTCAAACGAGAAGTTTATGCGGACGGCCCATCAAAAATCTCATTGGTCAATCACCGCGTTCCTTAACATGTCAATTTTTTTCGTGAAACTGACCAAGAAGCCATTCCCTCGCTTCCAGCTATTCATAATACGTATCAAATACCTGCCAAGTCCGTCGGTGTGACGACAACTACCGAATCGAGTGCAAACGCATAACTCCCCGTATGTTTGCCATAAACGGAAGTTTTATTTTGGTATGTTACTAAAGCTGTAAAATAACAGTGTTCAATTTTATTACATATTAAATGTATAATTCGGGGATGATTGTGTGGTTGGGATGCCATAGACTTTTGTCAATGTGTTTTATTTGTGTTTTTGTAGCGATAGAATAAGTGAGTGCATTCGTATTTACTTACCGGTTTGAGGTGCTTTTGTGATACCTCAGTCTTAGCTAGTGGCGCTCGCGTGAACGCCGACGGGACCGCTCGTGTGAGGATCCTATAGAAAAATTTAATAACATTAATTTAAAACATTTTAAAGTATATATTATCACCCTGTTCTCTATATATAAACGTACATATAAAATAATTGTCTAATAGTGCTTAAAAAATTAAAAACAAAAGAAAAATGCACATAGTAACTCATTTCTAATAAGAAATATCTGAAGCTATTAACATCATTTTATATTTCTATAAAATAAATAAAAATAAAAGAAAATAACAAGTAGAATATACTAAAAATAAAAATATATAAAAAATATAACAATATCTCACGTCTTTCCCTGCGATGTTTCCTATCACGTTCACGCTCTTTATCGCGGTCACGTTCCCTCTCGCGGTCGCGGTCACGCTCCCTCTCGCGATCCTTGTCGCGGTCACGCTCGCGCTCCCTGTCCCGCTCGCGGTCACGGTCACGCTCCCGCTCCTCATGGCGTCCGCTTCGATCTTCACGACTTGATCTATTATTACATCAAAAACGTGGTACATTTATAAGAGTAGAAATAAAGTTTAGGTGGAGATAGGTACACATGTTTTAACTACATATTATATCTACATATATTATTATTATGCATAACACGATTTTAATATGAACATGAACTATCTTGACACAAATAAAAGACCATAGGCATTTCGATTGATTCTTATGAACAAAATTTAATAAACTACTTTAAAAATCTCAATAAATCCTGTTAAAAAAATTAAAATAGTTAATTTTTAGTTCTTTTTTTCTTTTTAGTTTTTTTTTAGTTGTTTTGTCTTCTCGATATTATATATTTTAATGTGACTTAACATTACTTTTTTTTTAAACAAAATATGATAACCTAATAATTATAAAGCAAATTACCGATGCCGTTCCTTGTCTTTATCCTTATCCTTGTCCTTATCCTTGTTGTCCCTCTCCCTATCCCTCTCCCTGTCCCTCTCCATGCGCTCCCTGTCGCGGCGGTCGGAGCCGAGACCCCCGCCGCGGATGCTGCGCTCCCTCTCACGCTCCTCTCTACGCTTGCGCTCCTTCTCTTGTTGCTCTTTCTCCCTAGCTTCGTTCATCTCTTCGTAAGCTTGACGGAGTTTAAAGTAGCTGAGGAGTTGTATAATAATATTATGTAAAATCTATACTAACATTATAAAGAGGTAGAGTTTGTTTGTTTGTTTGAAAGCGCTAATCTCAGTAACTACTAATCCGATTACAAAAAATCTTTTTCCATTAGATAACCCGTTTATTGAGGAAGGCTATATATCATATAATATACAGGATGGTCTAAGAAGTGACGTCATAATTTTTTTTTAGATTCCTCACATCTGGGTGAATCCGAAAATACCAAATACCTCTTCAAAAAGATGAGTAGACATATTGTGACGTAAAGCAAAGAATAAAGTTCAAAAATCGAAAGTTCTATTTTTAAATAAAAGTGTCTTTTCGAATTTTCTCGCGTATTTATTTTGATTTTTGGATCCCTTTATTTGATTTTTGGTTTAGGGAACCAACATTTTTTTTATTAATAATTTTAAAAGTCTTTATTCACGTAGATCTAAGAAAGTATTATGTGAACAAGTACGGACTGGAAAGTTCTAATTGTCTAAACGCTAATCCAAACTTACGCACGCCACATAACGTTTAATTTAAAACACGTACGTTTTAATTTTTTCATCCGAAAACCAATGAACAAAAGAGATTTGGAAAAAGGCAAAAGCGCAATTCAATTTCGAATTATAGTTCTTTTTGAGGATACTTTTTAGACACTAATTGGGTATTTTGTACATCAATGCTAATAACACTTACCCAACATGTTGTTTCCCTGAAAGATGATCGTCTATTCTTTGTTGAGCATCACCAACAATCAGAAAGGCGCCACACACGGGGCACACTTCCATTTGCTTTTCTTGAGCAGCCGCTAACTCTGCAGTCATTGACCAATGGCTGAAATTATAATAAAATATGAATAAATTTCTTATACTAATTATAAAAGGCCATAGCCACACAATACTGAATAAATTTATAAAATAATACAATGTCAAACCCAAGAATAGATTATAATACATTAACAGTAAAAAAAAACATTTCCATAAACTAGCTTCTCTTTTAATATGTTAAACAGAAGAAAAATGCTATTGACCACTAAGCCTCTCATTTGGAGCTAACCCTAGATGCAGCAGCCAAGTCATGAAAGATTTTAGAATGAACTATAATATTGAATGCATATAAAAAATTTCATGTCTGTACTGTTGACGGTTGAAACAGTGCTTCATCTGGAGCCAATTCTAGATGGAGAATCAGGTCATAATTATCATAAATAGTTATTATCTTTGGAACTGAACCAACATGTATAATTTTAACATGGTACGATAAAAGGAAGTGGGTCTAATTCTGCTTGCAAGATTTGACCCATACAAACTAACAAACATTGGAAATTAAATAAAAGATTAAGTATACCAATTTTTATTATAAAAGGTGTTTAATAAGTTATTAACTTAAATGAAGATTTTTGTGTGACTCTGAGGTACATTTAACTAATGATCACAAGAAAGTAATTCTGCTATCTCCAGTGATATATACATTTTTCTGAGAACTCCTGACAGAAAATCTCATCTAAAATAATTCACTACAATAAAGTATTATAAATATGTCTTTTATTTTTAATATATAAGTTATGTATTCATACCTATTCTCTTGCTGTTTTAGAAGTTGCTCTTTTTCTTCTTTCAACCTATCACACAATTTCATGAGTCCTTGAGCTTGTTCAACATTACCACAAGTTCCAGCTTCTTCTGCTTCTCTTACTAAACCTGTTATCTTCTCAGATAGCAGCTTCACCTAAAAATATATTTACAATGCTTAGTTGGAACCTATATATTCAGGTACCTTCTTAGTAAAAAGCTTCCTTTATCATAATATATGTATAACAGACTATAATATATACTAATATTATAAATGTGAAAGTTTGTGAGTATGGATGTTTGTTACTCTTTCACGCCAGAATGGCTTAACAGATCTGGATGAAATTTGAAACAGAGATAGATTATAACCTGGAATAACATATAGGCTACTTTTTATGCCCGAAAAATGTACGGTTCCCATGGGATAGGGTTGTTTTTGTTTTCCTTGAGTGAAATGTGAAATGTGAGAATGTATGGATGTTTGTTACCTTTCACACAAAAACAGCTGAATGGATTTTAATGAAACTCATAGGGCAGGCTACTTTTTACAACAAAAAAGTGTACAGTTCTCATGGGAAAATTTGTTTAGATTTTCTAGAGGTGAACCCGAGTAAGCCAAGGGTGAGCCATTAGTTACTTATAAAAATGAGTTTTTATTACTGTGGGATGAATGTGCATAAATTAAATAAAAACTATGATGGCTAATTGTTGCCATGGTAACCATTGTTATGGTCTGACAAATGATATATAATATTATATTCTTTAACTATGCATGGGAAATTCTGTAAATTATAATTGTAATGTCAATCAAATTTAATTGCGATATGTGCCAAAGAAGCTTTACTTCAACCACATGTGAAGGTTACACAAACGATTTTTTTTGTTGCCAAGTAAAAAAGATAAAATTGTTTTGAAAAAGGAAATGATACCTGTTCTTGGTTTTTCTCAGTTTGAGCTTGAGTCATAGGTGGACCTTCAGGTTTTGAATTCATCAATTCTAACCTCTGTTTACCTTTTTGAATCTTTCCTGAAAATTAGTTAAGATGTAAAAATGTTTAACATTATATAGGCAAAAAGGCAATATACTGAACCAATTTAATTCTTTCACTGACAGCTACATTATCATTTATGTTGTCTTTTAGCCGAATCATCATGATGTTGTCTAGCAAGTCATAAAAAATATAGAGCTCTTTTCATGTGCTGCTTTCATGGTTCTAAAAGTGCAAACATGAAGACCTTTAACAATTCTACAAATAAATCTGCAATATCATATACATTTTAGCAGATATATATACCCGCTTTTTATGTTAAAAAACATATTTTTGAACTAAGTAATGTTTAGCTGTTTATTATTTTTTCTAAATATAATATTAAGCTATCTGAAAATACTGTTAACTGTATGTCATTTGGTTACATTGTTTAGGATAATAATACAATATTTGTATAGAAAAAGATCTAAAAGATGTTTTATCTTATAAATGTTCGTCACAAGACCATTAGTAGTTATCTAAAGTAGGAAGCTACTTACTTTCAACATCACTAATCATATGACGACAAAATCGTAAAAACTCCTCAACATATTGAGCTTTCTTATACGAAGAATCTGCTTTTTCAAAGAGTTCTTTAACTTCATCATCATGTACCTTAGGGCAAGCCCCAAGATCTGCTCTTGTATTGACAAACAAATCATGAGGACAGAATTTTACCATGTAATATTTACAATACTGAAAAAAAGCGTTAGATAGTCAGCGAACCCATGGTATTATTAAATTTAAAGAATATTCATAATAACAGCACAAACAAGAAGCTCATAAAAACGTTAAAATTTACTGACAAACATTCGATGAGCAAATACACCGACATTTTCTAGGTTAGATAATAATATTATACATGAAGTACAAGTACATTACTCACTTCTGGATCTTCCCAATTCGGTTTTTTTATTTTTTCATTTGGATTTGTATTTCGATGTCTTCCCATTAGCTCATCTAACAATTGTGCTGCCGCTAGCACTGCCATTGTCACTTTTTTTACAATAAATGTAAAAAGAAAACTGAAGAATTAACAAAATCAACTATTCATTAAATATAGTATACATATCCTAAGTATCATAAGGATGGAAAAGTAATTTTTCTATCACACACGATTATTCTAAAATTATGCTTGTTAATTTTTTACATAAACCTATAAATTACAAGACTTGTCCATATCAGAAATATCCGCCATAATTTTAATTTTTACCACAGATTAAGAAGACTAGTTTTTACCATGGACAAATTTAATTCCGGGTACATACTCTCGCCGAAATTATAAATATTCCAATATATGCCGAATGAGAGAGGGTATTCTTTGCACCAAAAAGTATAATAATATACAGTGAACTTTGCACTCACTATACCTTGATGTGTCTCGCTTTCTTCTCTTTTAACTAGACAGTTATTCCCCATACATACACACGAATCCGATCATTCGTAATATATGAAAATCTCTTCATATGTTCGTTATGCCGGTCTCAGTATATAATAGTAGTCTATGGTCACACTGCGAGTACTCGCTGCGATTAGCATGGATAACAAATAAATGACGATTAGGCACTTGCCGCGTGTGATACGCTATTCGCGGCGAATATATTCATTCGTCTTGAGTTGAATTCGCCAACATTTTATTATTAATCTTTGAAATTATACCTCTTTCACTTTTTTATGAAAAATGAAAAAATGAATGATGATCAAGTGATTTTTAAAGATGCGACAGATTTAGACTAGGTATAGTAAGAAGTTAGTCTTTATTGGCTGCAGTGTGAAGTTAGACCCGTTGTCTGTCTGTAATCAAATCTTGTAAGTTAAATTTGACCCACTTCCCAATGTCCGATAAAGCTAAAATTTAGCAAATACGTTTGACGATGAAGGTCGATTCTTATTTTTTACGATTTTTGATAAATTTATCAATGATCAAGATTATCAGTTTTTAAACTTGGATTTAGTGAATCTAAGTATATAGAAATATTATATAGGGATCAATCATTTTTTTTTTCATTTTCATAACTGCAGTTTTTTGCCATATTTTTTGGTTTTCCTCAATTTACTCGAAATTTTAAGGGTGTATGATGCCAAACAGACCTCAGATTCGGAATCAGTGCATCAAAATATATGTAGGTGGGTCTGATCAAATATACAGACCACTTTTTCTGTGTGCCGGTGTTAATCCCTCAACGACCGCGGACACGCCGGCGTTACAGTTAACAATAGATTTTTTAGAAATTTACCTGGAGGTGTGACGAGCACTCCATACTACACTTTGTACTCCAGTCGTGGATGTTTATATTTATGTTATGTATATATTTAAAAGTTTTATTTGTGTAGTATATCAACTATCTGGTATCCATAACACAAGCCTCGTAGCTTACCATGGAACTGCTCTGTGTTATTGTACCTACATAGTGTGGAACATCACTTACATTTTGTATTTTTTTAATATGTAATATAAAAAGAATATAACATAGTTAACTTAACCTGAACATTATGTTCCAGAGATAAAAAACCTTTTAAAATTTGAAGCCATAAAAATTGAAATATTATTTTCAAAATTAGGTTATTATTAGGATACACGCGACTACACCTATTAAATATTATAAGGTTAAGATGAAAATTCTCTAGTATTAATTTCCTCTTGTGGATATGTACATTTTTTTGGATTTCATTTTTTACTTTCTAGTTACTGCATTCGACATTTTTATCAATTTTCGACACAAACTTCATACACACAGTTGAGGAGCAGAGCATGCACTATTGCACTGACCGATCGTTGTAAAATGAACGTAATAGCGGCCGATACTCCCTAGAGTAAAAATGTTCCTTGGGCCGATGACTCCGCGTCGTCGCATGCCTAGCTAAGCAATTAAATATCTCGGAAACTATGCATAAGATGTATAAAAAATATTTTTTTAAAGTTTTTTCACTTCTAATAGTGAATTGTAAAATAAAAATCAAAAATTAGTAATATTCTTCTAGTTCCAATTATTCTTGAAAATGAAGTTAACTGAGAACAAAACCACTCCAGTTTGTTTCTTTACCCAGACAATAAGTGTGTTTGTAGGATATTACATTGGAATTTGGTAAAAACAAAAACTTGCGCCCAAATCAACCAACATGGCAACAACCAACCAGCAATCAGCCCTGCAAAAAATCTCTGAGGATATGCAAGTAGAAGTTTCACAGTAGAGCATGTAAAAAAAATATACCTATGCGATCTATGTACTTATTATCTTGAACTAGACAAAAGTAAAAAACCATCTCTGGATTTCTTGAAATCATAGTCACAATAATGTTAACAATTCAACTTTTAAATGTCTGGATTGGACTGATTCGCTGAATTTCTGGACTAGAATAATAAGAACCGCCTGAACCGGGAATTACTTCACAATGTGGAGAAAAATTACCTACTGGCTACTGTTGGTAATTGGTAAATGGTAAGTTGGTTGGTAGCACCATGGATGACAAATATAAGTAACAACTAACACTTGTCATTGTGACAATTCAATTGAATTTGACAAGTAAGCCTAAGCAAAGCAATTAGCAAATCTTATCTATTTTGTACTTATTGATAAAAATCATACGTTTATAATTGTGATGTAGTTTTTCTGATGAATATTCACAAATCTATCGATAAATATTACATACCCTAAAAGTTTCTTTTAAATATTGTATATAGATAAAAATGGGCGGACTGTTTAGTAAATCCAAAAAACCTGTAAGTCGAGTGACAGAACAAGATAAAGCAATTCTGCAGTTAAAACAACAAAGAGATAAATTAAAACAATATCAGAAGAAAATTGAGCTTAATTTAGAAAAAGATAGGCAACTAGCGAAAAAACTTTTAGCAGAGGATAAACGAGACAGAGCGAAATTACTTTTGAAGAAAAAAAGATATCAAGAAAATCTCTTACAGAATGCTGATTTGCAATTAGAAAAATTAGAGCAACTCACACATGATTTAGAATTTGTCCAAATTGAAGTACAGGTAATTTTTTTATATTGATCACTTAAACTTAAATAACATGATATAAATAAATAGTTATACATATGTTTTCTATATATTAAACGTTGGAATTGAAAGATTGCCTGTGTATAAATTAGGCTATAATCATCTTTAGAAATACATTTTACTCTTTTATGATATAAGTAAGCGGCCAGTATTTTTACTACAAACATTATTTTCTTTGAATTTACAGGTTCTAGATGGGTTGAAAACTGGTAATACTGCTCTGAAAAATATCCATGACATTCTTAACATTGATGAGATTGAAAAGATATTAGATGAAACAAAGGAGGGTATTGAGAAACAAAAAGAAATAGACGACTTAATATCTGGTCAATTGACCGTAGAAGATGATGAAGCAATTGAAGCAGAGCTTGAAGCTATATTAGATGTAAAGGATCAATTACCTGATGTGCCTAATGATAAACTGCCAGATTTGGTTGAAGAAAAGGAACCAGAGAGACCTCAAAGAACTAAAATTAGTTCAAAGAAGATTGCAGTTGAAGCTTAGTATAACATAAAATAATATATTTATTCGTTATCTTGTATCTATTTGAATTATATTTTGTTATTAAATATTATTATTAAATACTTTTTAAATATAAAAGAATATGTACCTACCTAATACATATAATAAACATAAATAAGAAGTATTTTCATTATTGCTGCTACTTGTTTATCATATTATATTTACCTAAAAAAACATCTGCAGAAACAGAGAAATTACAACCCTTTTTTGCTTATTAATTCCTTTCATAACTAATATTTAAATAAAAAAATACTAATTTTACTATTTATAATAAGTAAAAATTAGTTTCGTGCTAGGAACCGCATTAACAATAAACAGTAATAAAGAATATATACTAAAATTTTATGTGTTTATATTATTTCTACAATAGGTATTTTAATTAACATAGGATTTTGTCAAAGAGCGTGGCTTAAGGCCAGGTAGTGAAAAAAATTCCCACGCTAATTCCGCCCATACAATCTGACCACTGTAACCGCTAGCAAATAAGCTTGAATATCGAATATCCGATCAACTTTATTTTCGCACAGCACTAAGTCTAAAATCTTATTTATTATGAGATTCATAATTTGTAATTACCTTGACCAATTATTTTGTTTTAACGGCGGATAATAAACGATATTTTCCTTCTGTAAGTATTTATTTTGCATATGTAACTGAACTAATTTCAAGAAAAATCTCTTAAAAATTTTTTTGGGAAAAACTCAAGAAAATTTCATTAAATTACGTTCCTTTCTTAATATCTGGTTTACTTAGAATATCTAGGCACATTAGCGTTTAATTGCACAGCCCCGTCTTAACTGTAAAAGATTCGTCCAGCAACGCAACAATTTTTTCATAACATTATAAGTATTTTTTGTAGAATTACTATACATTCCAATGTATTCGCATAAGTTATACGAAAAGCAATGGAAATATAAAATTTAATTGAGACACAAAATATTAACATTAAATTTATTTTAAGAATATATGTATGTAATATGTATTCATTGTCAACATATACTCATAACACTTTTGAATTATTAAGTAATGAAGAATTAAATTATTTAAGAGGCCTATGAATCAGTTCATATGCTTTTTCTGAGAGTTAAAGCTTCAGTTTTCATTGTTATTTTCATTTCTTCATTGGCTGCAAAACAAGTAATAAAAAACATTAATTTCTTCCATATTTTAATCTCATCCATATCAAATTACTGAACATAATTTAAGATTTAGTACATACTATTGTGACTATATAATAGGGTTCTAAGTATAAATAAAAGTGGCACCATTAAGAGATAAAAAACTACAATGAGACTAATATTAAATTATCTCAATGATTTGCAAGTAGAAAAGAAAACGGTATACCAGAACGATTCAGAATCGTTAAAACTCCAATATCATAAAACTATACCTCCACAGTGCTGCAAGTAAATAAATAGAGGTGAGCAATTATAAATGATTACTGTCACCAAATAATATAATTTTCCTAAGGCAACAAAATTTAGACTGTACGTCAATTAATTATTTAAAATGTAACAATTATAATATTAATTATAAAAATAATCTAAAAACAATACTAAAATCAAAGTTAAGAGCCATCTCCAACTTAATCTAGACAAGACTAGTAGTACCACTCATAGTCGCTCACCTCAATATGATAAATGATATTTTTAGCCGTATGAATAGTATAGAATTATAGTATATAACTATGACATAATGTTTTAACTATTTACAGATACAAGCTAATTTGTTTAACAAGCTGTAACAGTAATCATGGGAGTGATTATAACACCACTCCTCATACTGGTGGTACGACTAAGCTAAGCGTACTGCCACCAGTAACTAACTATACAACCTTAATTTACTATAGATTTATCACACTTGTACTGTACATAAATGGCAAAGAACTATAAAATAGAACTAGGATATTAAAATTATAAAAATAATTCATAATTGAATAATTTATTTTGCAGGGAGGGGTGCTTTCATGAATAAATTTCTCGCGCGCTGGTCCCTGTTCTTTGTAAATAAATATTAGTTAAGTTTCAAATGAAAATATTATATTAAAACATATTAAAAGTTCTTTCATTAATTTCACACTCTTTGTTGTTTTTAAAATTTCGTTAATGAGGAATGTTTTATTTTTTGAATATTACTACTAAGTAAAGTCAAGGAAAAACCGAAAAAAAGTGCGTAAAAGTATAAAAACATTGCGGTAACACATCAATACTAGTGATTTTAATAAAGAAAATTAAAATTATACTAAATTTAAACTTCGTAACTATAAAAATAAGTTTAAAAAAATATATAGGTGCTAAAATCAATATCACTATATTAAAATCACATAATAGCTGTTTATATTTAGTATACACTATTATCAGACTATTCACATAAATTATTTTATTATTAACAAGTAAAACCCTTTTTTACACTCAATTATTTTAGCTGCTTGCCTTACAATTTCGTCCTTTATCAACACTATTTTTGCACACTAATATACATAATATAATACATTTTTATAATATACCTACTATATTATTGCAGGCATAAATTAATATTCTTCTCATACGATTTTCCATATATATTTTTTTTACTATTGTAAGTAATATAAAGAATTGTTGCGCTTTTTTTATGTTTATTTTGTTGACTTAAATACAATAAATCAATTTTAACTTTTTAAACTTTAGTGTGAAATCCCATTTAACAAGAACTACTTAGTTATTTAAAATTATTTACAAATTAACGTTTTATTTATAATTTATTTCAAAGAATTATAAGTAATAGGGAATATGCGTGTCATTTAAATAAAGGTGATATATTTTTTTATAATTTTTATTCCGTCTGAATTAAGCCTATATCATTAATTTTCATGTAATTTCTTTTTGCTTAAGAAAATAATTATTCAGTGCAAAAATGGGTGGGATATTCAAAGTAGTTGAAACGCAACGCCATTGGTCAGAACGAATGTGACGTTAGTCTATTATAATATAATATCCTTCGTTGGCGTTCGTTGGGCCGGTGTATAAGCAGCATTACAGAGCGCTGCTATTTGGCGTCACGCCAAACGCGCCAAAATGGTTGGCGTTTAATGTATCCATATCTGGATATTATTAAATTATTGTTTTAGAATAAATCTTAGTTTTTGGAGCTGGATATTTTTTTCCCAATTATAAAATGATTTAAGCTATTGTATAAATAATAACAAAAAGAAACACGTCTATTCCCTATTGATACTTATAAATAGTTCACATAAGGTAGTAACATATTTTTAAACAGGACTCATGTAGGTAAAGTTTAGTTATACAGCCACCAATCTTTTGGCAAATTGCTTGATTTTATGATTGAAGTTTCATTTAAAAAAAAAACAAATTTGTAAAGAAAAACAAAATGCACCAGAATAAGTTCGCCTTTACAATTAAACGCACAGTAACTTCTGAATATTATTCTTGCTTAGCACTCCATTTATTTTGCGTTTGATTGTATTATTTAATTATTATTATTATTAATAATAACAATTTTCGAGCTTTATCAGCTCTCAATGAACAATATTAAAGGGTCAGATGGCTCTCTTTCAGCCGTGGGTGAATGCTAGTAGTTCACTGTGACAGGATGATGGGATATACTCGTCGTCGCATGATGTTGGGTGCTCGCTGTGAATGTGCCAGTTGATACACTTGCTGCACTTGTTACTGTGCCTGTCCGTACCTGCTGTTAGAAAATTGGTTTTAAAATTATTATTTTAGGATAAATTAAGCATTTCTATAGCAAGTTAGAAAACTTTGTATTAAAATGTGTCATTATTTAATTTAATATGTAAGTTCTTTAAACACTAAATTCCTATTCCGTCGTATTCTTACCTGACTGGTAATTTGCATTACAGTTGAGTTTGATGATGGACTTTGTGCAGGATTTGCTTCAGTAGTTCTACTTTCAGATGATGCTCTAGAAAATAATAATATTAAAGAAAAATCTTATCAGATTCATATCACAGATAAAATTTAATAAACTCTTTTTAAAGGAAATAATGCCTTCATAGATCAAATTCATGTATTAAATTATATTATTCCTGACGATTGAAAAAACAGTTTTGAAAAAAGAGTTTGCAGTGCATATTAATTGATCACATAATTCACATTTTAAGACTCATTTGCCATTGGTTAATAAAAAGTTACTGCGATTTTTATTATTAAATGCTAAAGGAATTTTGTAATATTTTACAAGTTTTAGTTTTTTTATTTACAAATGTAAATAGTTCAGTGGCTTGATGATCAATGCCATGTACAATATAATAATCACCAGAGTTAAAAAGGGTATCTGAATGATAAAGTATGTTACTCTACCTAGTATCATGTTTTCTCTCAGGTCTTTCAGGTGACTCTTTCTCACATTTAGTACAATCTCCACAGTCTTCAGTTTCAGCAGTTGGTTCTGTATTCGTTGTACCTTCGCCAGTTTCTGTATGAGTTCTCCGATGTGATGACAAATGACCTGGTTTAAAAAAAAAACATAAAAAATACATATAAAATAGAATTAAAAAAATAACAATATAAATTTCGTTAGTCATTTCAAAAATACAATTATTTTGCAATTTATAACTTAATGCTACAACTTACTTTTGCACATAAATTCCTTGGAGCAAATATCGCAACGGAACGACTTGTTGGCCGCGTTTGCGCCTCTATTGTGGGACCTTTCATGAAACAGCAGATTTCCCTTCAGAGGGAATGATTTTCCGCATTCCCCGCAAATATATGGCCGTTCACCACAACTGTGGGATCTGAAAGATAGATAAGTAAAATTTATAGTTTATGTAAATGTCACTGATTAAGTATTTGCATTAACAAACATTTGGAGAGAAATATTCATACTGTTAAATTTCTCACCTCATATGAGTAACAAGATGCTCTTTCCTCGTGAAAGGCTTCGAACAAACTTTGCAGGCGTGCGGCGTGTCGCCCGTGTGCTGCTTCAAGTGGTTGGTGAGATGTTCTTTTCTTGTGAATGTTTTGTTGCAAAAATCACATCTATGTGGCGACTCGCCCGTATGTATTCTGTGCACAAACATTACATGTAAGTATACATATGACATATATTTTTTATCATGATTAAAACTGAAGCTCACAATTTAAATATACAATACAATAATATATACATACATATGATTTTTTTTATATTTTTAAGTAAATTCTTTTCATCCAAAAACTAGCTATAACTTTAAATCGTTCATAAACCTTTTTATTCATATATCACGGGACTTTTATGACGAGGTCACCTTATGTAACAACAATCGTATATGTGATTAATGGATGATATTTGCAAAAACTCTTTTTTTCTTTTAATTCTTACACCATATTGTTTATATATATATATATATATATATATATATATATATATATAATATGTATATTTTTAAACGAGATATTCTCAAGTAGTCTTTTGTAGGGATGGGACATTTCACGAGTAGCAAGTGAAAAATCACGTGAAATGCGTAATCACGCGTAATCACACCTGCTACTTAAATTCATAGTGGCTGCTACAAATCACAACTTGGTGAAATCTAGAGCTGTAGCAAACCGTATGTATTCGTTACTGAGTAACGGGTACGCCATCTAGTACCGAGTACCTAAACGTTACTCACGAATGCATTTCGTTACTCGCATTTTCCGTATACATTTTCGTACTGATGTTTTTATTGATTTTTTATTCAACAAAATACAATTTTCAGTTAATACCGTTGATCAGTAAATTGGGGAGTTTATTTATTTCGAGTTGCATGATTTCGGATTCTTAGAAATATTGTTTAGAAATAATTTTAAATTAGAAACAACAATTAAATTTAGAGCACATTTTTAGTTTTTTATCCAACAAATACTTATAATTTTTACTGAATGATTATGTGTAATACGTACAGACATAACCACCAACGCTGAGAACGAGCTAGAAATGTTTATTAATGAACCAGTGCTTCCGCGCGATTCTTCGTCATTAGTTTGGTGGAAATCTCACTCCTATATGTACCCCAATTTGGCGGAAATATTTCATGAGCACTGTCACATCTTGGTGACATCAGTGGAGTGTGAGAGAGTATTTTCAAAAGCGGGAAATTTTGCAACCCAAAAAAGAGCACGATTAAGCAGAAAACGAACAGCGGAACTTGTATTTTTAAAAAGCAATGAAGACTATTGTATATAGATATCTCATAAAAAAATCAATCATCAAAAAAATCAAAAAGCAAAAAAAATGATTATAAACAAATTAAAAAAATTAAGAAAAACAAAAAAAAGTGTATAAAATTCTTTTATAAAAATTCTTATTGTACATAAAAACAATGAACTTTTAAATACGCCAATGTAATTATGGAACTTAGCTTAATACAATTTTACCGTGTGATTACTCTGATATATTTAAAATTCATTTAATTTTACATTGTCAGTCCCAAGCCTGTAGAAGTATGAGGGAAAGTTCATTGTTTGAAAATAGGTTCATTCAAAGCACCATGTACGTATGCAACTACGTCAGATCTATATCTCTGCTCCATATCACATCAGTAGCGCCATTGGTGACATTTCATACTTCATTTTAATAGCAAATAATATAAAGTGTGACACCAGACCGTCGAAATCAAAAATCTATGCGTGAAAAGTAGCAGGTGAAATCACGTGAAAAATTGTTGTAATTTCATCACGTGATAATGATTTAAAAGTAGCAATCATTTCCATGCTTAGTCTTTTGTAGTAGCAATTCTTTACCTGACGTGATTAGTTAAGTGTTCCTTTCTTGAGAATGTCTTGGTGCAGAAGGGACACTTGTGTGGCGTTTCACCAGTGTGCATGTGCACATGGTTAGTTAGGTGTTCCTTGCGTGAGAACGACTTCGAACAGTAGGTGCACTTGAAAGGCGTCTCCCCAGTATGTTGTCTATAACAGTTTTATAATTACGTAATTATTTTTAGTATTTTAATATATTATTACTATAAAAAATTTGTTTGTTTAGCATTATGAATATAAAAGAGTATTTGCTTCACAAAATTGATCTGTATGTAGAAAGATATAAAATGTATTTTATAATCTATAGATAACCAGAAATTATTGTAAATGTGACAAATTCAAGCCTCATGCTTGCCTCCACTCAAGACCAACATTCAATAGATCCGTCATATTTATGCTAATAAGTAAGAAGCCACTGCCACAAGGTAATTGTGATGATATATGGTGATGGTGTCACAATAAGGCATTTAACATTATATTTATTAATTTATCAATTGAGATTGATATGTTCTGTGTATGATCGAAATGTCCATTCAGTTCCAGCCTCTGAAGGTTCAGATAGAATGGTTTTTGAACGAGTATGGTATAATATTTAAAAAACGTTTAAGTTAAAAAAGTACTTAAACAGGAATAACTCCTTCCTTCTCACCATCGTGTGCTGGTTGCGCCATAAGTAATTCCCGTGACACCTCCTATTTATGAACGAGCAATGCGCAGTGCATTGTTAGAGATATATAATATTAATTACTTACCAGTCGTTAGATTGAAGTCCTACTGAACTGTGAGACTGGAAGGAATAATGAAATATCCATTCTCGCAGAGATAACTAATCACTTCATCCTAACATAGTAGTCGTACCATCTGAGCTATCTTTATCTACTTATAAACAAGTAATACACTGCTTGGGGATAACTGCCTCTATCTATCTATCAATCTAGCGGTTAGCATGTACGACTGCAGATTTGGAGATTTTGGGTTCGAGTTCCGAATCATAAAGCCGTCGGTCCTGCGCTCGACCTTTCACCAGTCGTGTCGAATTGTTGTTCCACCAGAGTTTGAGAGTGACGGTAGAAGAAAGCGCACCAGTGTATGCAGGCATATGTGTGCATTATTCCTGATGTGCAGCCGTACATGCTAGCCACTACACCACCGAGGCAGGCCGATAACATACCGGACATGCGTAACTAGATGCTCCTTTCTGGTGTAGCTCTTATTGCAGTAGGTGCAGGTGTGCGGCGCGTCGCCAGTGTGCTGGCGCAGGTGCTGGTTGAGATACTCCTTGCGCGAGAACGAGCGCGGGCAGTACGTGCACTTGTGGGGAGTCTCGCCTGTATGCTGTCTGCGCAACAGTACATTCCGATTTTATTACATATTATAGAAGATCGTCAGATTCGATATTGAATGTTAAAATATGTTCTCAAGATGGAAATTGTCAGTGAAGACTAACTTAAAGTTCAATTCCTTTTTTAAATATACGTTAGCACCTCGAAACTGACGTTATTCCTGTGTAGGGGGAGGGTTAGGCTAGCTCTGGAGAGCACAAATCGGAATGCACAATGCTGTGCTACTGCATAAAGGGGGACTTCCCACAAATGACGTATAGAACACAAGGAATTGTTACGGTTAATTTTGATAAGCTTACCTTCAATTTTAGAACATGCTTGTTTTCATGCAATTTTTGTGATTTTGAACTATAAATGTTTGTATGCTTGTAGCACAGCATTGCTATCTCTAATTGGTTCTACATTTCTTAAACGGATCCATGCAATAATTATAAATAAAGAACGAAAAAAAATAAAAATATTAAAAAGTAAAATTCTAAAAAATAAATTAAATTATAATAATAAAGTTAGTGTTTTATTATAATTTAATGTAAAGGTAATAAATAATAGATTACTATAAAAATATATGTTACTATTTAAGATATAAAGTCTAAAATAATATACACTATCCCTCACCTAACATGATTTGTAAGATGTTCCTTTCTCGTAAAGGATTTAGCACAGTATGTACATCGATGCGGGGACTCCCCGGTGTGTTGCCGCACATGGTTTGTTAAATGTTCTTTACGCGTGAAAGACTTCGTACAGAAAGTGCATTTATGTGGGGATTCTCCAGTGTGTTGACGGACGTGGTTTACTGTAATGTATTAAGTAAAAAATATAATTTGTAGATTATTTTTAATTCTAATATGAACAAATATTAAAAAATAAATGGAACGTCCCAAAGTTTTAAATAATTGTTACAGTTTAATAACGCAAATAGATTTTATATTATTATACTAACAATATTACACACAAAAGTAACGAAGGCGCCTAGACAAGGCAATCGCCTACAGCGTGCAACGTGCAGGAGAGACGTGGTCGAGGCGCACCCGATTGTCACAAATACTTTATAACGACGGCTATAGGGATAAATTTTAAAGAGTATAACTGTAACTTGCCACGGTACTACAGCGAACGAAAGCGAAACCAATTGGTAATTTTTACAATTCTTGCATTTGACTGCATAACCGTCAAAATTATAGGCAATCGTCTGCTATATAGATTGCTGTTTTGTAATATATTTGGACTTGGCAATCAAGGAATCAAGTCAGTGGTAGCTCAGTGGTAACGCGCTCGCTTGGGCAAATGAGTGAAGCGAGTTCTAATTCCGGGTCTCGCACCTCTGATATTTTCATGTACGAATCATTTCCAACAAGATTACCACTTGTCTTAACGGTGAAGGAAAACATCGTGAGGAAACCTGCATGTGTGAGAGAACCTAACAAGTTTTCGAAAGACATGTGAAGTCCGCCAACCTGCACTTGGCCAGCGTGGTGGACTTTGGCCTGATCCCCCTCGTATAGAAGGGAGGCCCGTGCCCAGCAATGGAGCGTTAAAAAGGGCTGAATGAATACATAAATACATACATTTGGACTTACCTAAATGATCCTTCCTAGTGAAGGCTTTAGGACAGTAACCACATTGGAAGGGCGTCTCCCCGGTGTGCTGGCGCACGTGGTTGACGAGGTGTTCACGCCGCGTGAAGGACTTGGCGCAGAAGTTGCAACGGTGAGGCGACTCGCCCGTGTGCTGACGCACGTGGTTCAGCAAGTGCTCTTTACGTGTAAATGTTTTGGAACAGAAGTCGCAACGGTGTGGGGTTTCGCCTGTGAAAATTAAAAATGAATACATAAGACAATGTTATCGTGACTCAAAAAATTAAGTGTTGCCTACTGGCTTATTAGAATAATCGCGTCAAGCGAGAATCGAACTCACTGCTTCTAGCCCAATATCTAGTTCGTATAAAACGGTTATATAACAAAGCAATAAAATATATAAAAATATACAATTAAAATGAACACCAAGCCTGTTACCAGTAAACCGTAGTACGTTACATTAGAGCTCCATACAACAGGCGGCGTAAAAACATAAATCTATACTAACCCGTGTGCCACAATATGTGATTGGTGAAGTGTTCCTTCCTCGTGAAGGACTTCCCGCATAGATCGCATCTGAACGGTGTGTCATTTGTATGTGATCTCATATGGTTCACTAAATGCTCCTTTCTAGTATACTTCTTGCCGCAAATGTGACAATGGTGCGGCGTTTCACCTAGTTTTGTGGGGCAGAAAATAATACGTTACAATCAATGATGCAACTGTTCGAGCAAGGCACGAGCAATGCTACTTGTAGATACCTCGGTATGATGGTGTTGTTAGTTAGTAACGGATATGCAAGTGTATGACGTAGGACCGGTTTGTAAATATAGTTGAATCATTAAATTGTTTCTTACTTTCTGCACCACTGGTACCAACCTTTTACTTGGTGCAGGCTTGGTTATTCCGAACAACTCTTTACAATGTTACACATTCAATGGGGTTTTAAAATAAAACATTCTACAACCAGTCAATGTTATGTTAAACACATTTTGGATTAAAACTAACAACATGAAGAAGAAAGAAAGAGGCAAAAGTAAAACCCATCTACAGTTCACATGCGATCTAATAACAATACTTTCAGAAATACACAGAAATTATATAATAGTATAATCTTACAGTGAGTTGGAGACACATTTAATGTTGTCCAATACTACACATATATATTTTATATAATAAAGATTTTAAGAGAATAATTTAGGAATTATAAGCGAATTTATTTACATTTGGTTTAATTTATATTGTCAAAGCAACATGTATTAAATGTTTTGCTTAAATCTCATGAAAAAAATGTAACTCTTGTAAATTAATAAAAAATATTTTAGAACAATAGTATTTCTTAATGTATGTACGCGTATACATAAAAATTAAATAAGTAAAAAAAAATCCTTCGAGCCGGATTTGAACCAGCGACCTATGGATGCTCATTGCCCACGAAACAATACACCAACTACGGCTCCCCTACTATACAGTCCACTGCTCTACCAATTGAGCTATCGAAGGTGCCCAAAATAAAATTATAGCAAGTAATTCAATATACCTACAACAAAATGCTATAAAATTCATAAAAATATTTTTATTTACCAATAATTTTGTTATTATAACAATTTATAAATTTTACAAAATCATCTATTAAGAGCTATAATTTTTTAAGAGTTCAATTTGGTAAACAAATAATATAAAGTGCAAGTTTTTGACTAAGCTTTAGTAATTAGAAGTTAACAATCTATAAATCTCTTAAAATGATTAAAGAATACAATACTTGATAAAGTTAGTAAAAGGTTTATTTTTTCCAAATTGGACAAGTAAAAAATAATCATACTTACTTACTACATCATCTCAGATCGTAAAAGTGCTAATATAAAATAAAACTATGTTTTCGGATTTTTTCGCGGATTTATTTTGATTTTTAGTTCCCCAAACTAAAAATGATGGTCGAACCAAAAATGAAAATAAATCCGCGAAAAGAGCCGACAAGATAGGTTTTATTTAAGATGTCAAATATTCGCGTAAATCTAAGAAAGTATTAGTACTAAATTTATTAAAAATAATAATCTAATTATTTAACGAGCCCACACATTTGTGTCTGTCGCTCAAAACTCGAATTTAAAGAATTAATTAAAAAAAATAAAAATAGAAAAGCATAAACAAAAACAGCACTTTTATTTTTCAAGACGGACAAATATTATCAAGCATATACAACATAACATACCCGTATGCCACATGACGTGGTTCATGAAGTGCTCCTTGCGCGTGAAGCTCTTCTTGCATATCTCGCAGCGGTGCGGCGTCTCGCCCGTGTGCTTGCGCACGTGGTTCACCATGTGCTCCTTGCGTGTGAACGTTTTCGCGCAGAATTGGCACCTGTTGTGGGTATTCGGGTTTTAGTTAAATTAAAAATATTAACTTTTGCCACAGATAGTAATAATAATAAAATTCCTTATTTCTAACCACAAATCAAATTACAAATTAGTACATACATCAATATCAAAGTTCATGGTTTAGCATAAGCTGAGTAATATAAAATTTGGTTGTGGATCACTGGTGATTGCCATCTGTACTAATATTACAAATGTGAAAGTTTGTGAGTATGGATGTTTGTTACTCATTCACGCCAGAACGGCTAAACGGATCTGGATGAAATTTGGTACAGACATAGATTATAGTATAAAATAACAACAACATAGTCTACTTTTTATCCGGAAAAATATAAGGTTTCCGTGGGATATATTTGTTTTTGTATTTCTAGAGGCGAACCCGAGCGAAGCATACTAATACAGTACCCTCAATCCTCCTAACCTAAATCCTACAAAGTAATTGGACGGCACTAATTTGGGCTTTGATGACGGTTTTGACGATTCGCAAATAATTAAATTGTTTTTTATATAAATATGTGCATGCTATAAATGTATGGTAGATATTGTAAAATTCATCCTGCATTTGAAAAAAACGTCAGTATATTGTATGCTAATAACCAACCTATAAGGAGTTTCTCCCGTGTGGCTGCGCACGTGGTTGTCGAGGTGCTCCTTGCGCGAGAATGTCTTGTGGCAAGTGGAGCACGCGTACGGCTTGTCTTGTGCGAGTCTCTTTGCTTGGCGCTCGGCGGGGTCGCCGGCTATGTAACATTAGACAAATCTATACTAATATTATAAAGAGGTAAAGTTTTAAGATTGTGAGTTTGTCAGTTTGTGACATTGTAGGGGGTAATCTCTGGATCTACTAACCCGATTTAGATGAAGTTTGGTAAGAAGATAGTTTGAGACCCTGGGAAGGGCATAGGATACTTTTTATCCCAGAAATCATCCCTTAATAATAAATAATCCCTTGTATGGGGAATCAAACTAGGGATGAACCCGGACGAAGCGAGGCTGAGGCGCTAGTTAGTTATAGTACCGTTAAAGTCCGACTGACCGACCGACCGTCGCGGCTCTGAGTTTTTTCGTAAGACATAAAGATTAGGTTCTTTCAGAAAAGACACCTATATATAAAACAAAACCTTATATAAATACAGATCCAAATCTTTAGAGCCGTTTCCGAGATACACGAAATAAATTTATATTATATATATTATGCTTATTTAATATCAAATCTATACATATAATAAAATTGTAACTAAGCCGAATCTTATATTAATTTTTTTTTGTAAATTCTTATTGAAATAGTCATTATTGTGTATACAGAGACCGAATCTATACTTTTTAGAATTTTTGTCTGTCTGTCTGTGACTGCACCACGTAAATACCACTGGAGTGATTTTGATGAAATTTGGTATGATAATAGCTGGTTACCCGGGTCAACATAGAGAATACTTTTTACTGCAGAAAAATATCTCATCTCTGAGAAATCTATACCAAATTAAAAATTGTAAAACGTAAGTAGGGATGAACCCGAGTGAAGCGAGGGTGAGTAGCTAGCTAGTTATATAACATTACATTTCCTGACTCCAAAGATATTAGCATTTGCCTGCAGATGTACTCACAGAGAATATTTATATATAATTATTACTTCGCTCTACTAAATACCCTATTAAATGTAGAAACTCTTTTCTGTCATATATTTAAAAATATCATATTAAAAAAATTTCTTCTCCGTCTTTTAAATAACCTTTATATGTTCTTAAATAACAAGGCACTTATATACAATTGAATAACTTAAGATAATTTTATTACCTAGGTGACATTTTCCGTGTTTAGATAATTCAACTGGATTAGCAAATGCTGAACCGCAAACTTGACATGTGAATGGCTTGCTTTCGCCGTGATATCGTCTGGCAAACAAATTATCAAATTAAAAAAATAAGTATTAATACATGCATAACATAAGTATATAATAATATTCATATACATTATGAAGATGACATAATGATACAAAGATATAACCCAGTTAATTTTATATTTTTCTTTAACTTCATAAAATTATATTGCAGACTTATAAAAAGTTACCTGTGTACTATAAGTTGATATCGAAATTGGAAAATCTTCCCGCAAATGTCGCAAGAATGGTGTCCAGGAGATGACTCCGCCTCGGACATGGCCGCGCTAGTGCCGGCCTCTACTTCAACCTCATTTATTACTGTCTAAAATAATAATAATCAAATTTTATTTCATCATACATTTATTACTGTCTAAAATAGTAATAATTAAAATTTATTTCATTATAAATACATATTTCAAATATTAGGCGGAACAAATAAAATTATCTTTTACTATGCCAGTTTTTTTTTAATTTGACCTTGAATTGCAATTTGTATGAACTTTATAATTTTGATCACACAAAGAAAACATAATATAAAATATAGCTGTTACCTTAGTTTGTGGTTGGCCCTCAGTATTAAGTTTTCCAAATACTTCATGATAAGCGAGGAGTTGTGAAAGATCTTCAACATTTACTTTGTACATAGCATGCTGCAAATCATGTTCCGTTCCAGTAGAAATCTTAACAACTGCTCCTTCCATTCCCATTGCTCCAACACTCTGAACAAAGGAATTAAAACACATAAAACAAGGTAGAAAGTTAAGATCTATATGCTTTATTGTAAAGAATCTACAGGCCTATATGTTTTTTAATAAAATGCTCTATGACACCCCATGCCTGGTTGACCTAATAACTAGACCACAATGATGAAAGATTCTATATAGATTCAATATAAAGAACACCACACTGTATTATAATTATTATATTATTATAATGTGACTTAAATTATCGTGGCATAGGCAGCAATCGCCCTTCGGGACGTTGTGGTTGATTGCGTAAGAAATAGTCAGTGAGTCCCAGATATGTATAATTCATAGGTATTCATACATGAAAAAAATGAAAAAAAAAAAGCTGCAATCGCCAAAATGCATCTATAATATTTAACTAACTATACAATACCAATGTTTCACTCAGCAATGTTTAGCTTTATGGTATTGTTTTAATAAAATATATGCTAAATTAACATATCGAAATTTAATGTAAACCTTTAAATCTATTCCTTTAATGTCCTTTATTTCAGCAGGTATAGCGAATTGGGCGGATTCAATCTTGGCGACATTCTTCTCATCTTTAATTAAAAGTGGATCGGCGGCGCTAGTTTCTATTGAGGTAGTGCCATCTGGATTTTGCGTGACCAGAATATTAGCGGGTTCACCCGTCGCTTGTTCTATGCGCACTACACTATCGATGACCTGTCAATAAAAAATACTATTTAAATAAAATAATAAATCTATACATATGTATAATAAAATTGTAACTAAGCCAAATCTGTACATTAAATATTTTTTGGAAAATCTTATTGAAATAAACATTATTATAGATACAGAGGCCGAATCTATAGTTTTTAGAATTTTTGTCTGTTTTTCTGTTACCGCATCACAGAAAATCCACTGGAGGGATTTTGATGAAATTTGGTATGATAATAGCTGGTTATCCGGGTCAATATATAGGATACTTTTTACAGCAGAAAAATATCTCATTTTTGAGAACAAAAACCAAAAACTACAATGTAAGAGTATACTAATATGTAAAACCTAAGAATTTGGTTCTTGGTCATCTGAACACGGGCGAAGCCGCGGGCAATGCTAGTAAATAAATATGTTGGGATATTAACACAGCAAGCACCATCTAGTTCCTTGGTAAGCTACAAGGCCTGTGTTATGGATACCAGATAATTGATACACTACACATATATAACTTTAAATTTTAAATACATACATATTATAAATATAAACACCCATAACTGGAGTACAAGCATTCATGCTCATCACAGAAATGAATGCCCCCAGCGGGACTCGAACCTGCGACCGCTAGCACAGCAAGTAGAGTCATTACAAACTTAACTAAACTTGTTGTCAATATACATGTTTATCAATTACCAAATGTTATTTATAGGCTAATTCTACATAATTAGCTATTTTAGTAATTGAAATATAATGATAATGTGTATTACGTTACTTAGTTCTAATAAAGAAAAATCCTGAAAAATCATTGATTATAATATTATAAAAGAATCAGTAAGTCATGTTGTCATTATTGATATTGTTCCTACTAAAATTATAATCGCAAGTTTGTGAGGATGTATAGATGTACATATGTTTGTTACTCTTACAGGCATAAATTACTGAACGCACTAGATGAAACTTAACATAGTATAGCTTATACATCGGAGTGACACATAAGGCCATAATTTAAGAAGATATTGTAATAGGTATGAATGAACGGGAGAAGCCACGGGAAATCGGTAGTACTTTATAAAATAAAAATATATAAAATTAGTTACCTGATGATGCCCAACAATCTGCTGTAGCTGGTGCACAGTAAGTGTGTGGTCGGTGGGCATCTTGATAGTCTCGTGCAGTTCTTCCTTGTCTACGAGCTTGCCCCCGCCGGGCTCCACCACTGTTACGATGCCATCTTCACTCACCGTCAGTTGAATCTGATGGAAACCAGATATACTTTAAGTAATTTCATCAAATTGAATCAACTCATACAATTATTGGACAGATCAACTTTAATAGGATTTTTTTTAAAGAAATAAGTGTGAATATGTAATTGAAAAAATAACGATTTTTAAAATGTCTTATAATAATTTTTGAGAGCATGCTCTGCTCCTATTTATATTTTATGCTTATTGTAGTTACCAACAGCTTTTCAATTCAATTCAAACTTAACTAAAAACAAAATACAAAAGGTAGGTACCAATATAAACTTACCTCGCTGACCTGGAGTATAATGGCAAAGCAGCGTGAATACAGAATAGGGTGTTTTAACAAGTAATTGAGAATCTACTTGAGTACATTCATACAATGCAGTGAAAAGCTTTGTATGGTATGAGGACATAACACCATTTTAGCTTATTTTGTTGTGGCTGTGCATAAAATATGTACTATATAAATAAATATACTATGTTTAGCATTTCTTGTACCATATATGTTTCCTTTATGTGAGTTAGTTATGACTTAGTTAAGTATTATGTAAAATTATTGATTGGGCATATTATATACTAGTTATAGTCTTAAAGCATAATTTGTAATTGGAAATACATATATACATGATATAATAATACATGGACATTGTACATATATAAATCATTATGTTTGATCTTAAAATCAGCATTAAAACAATTATGCATCATACATATAAAATAAAAAAGCCAAACTGTCTATAACTTCATATACACACCTGTTGATTCGCGTGCTCAGGTCGCGCAGCTGCCATGAGCTGTTGCTGCATGATATGCTGTTGCGAGTGGTGACCCTGAGTTATACAACAATAAATAAATATAGTTAAGTTGTCTATAGATAAAAGAAGTTAATATCGTACAAAAAATATTATGAGAAACAAACGAAAGCTTAATATTTAAAGGTAGATAAAATCGATATTGAGTAATTTAATAAATAATTCGCAATTAATATTTCAAGATAGCTCAATATGAAATCAATGTATAATTTACCTTTCTATCCAAATAAGTAAAACAAGCACAAAATTTAACAGAGAATTTTACTTCAGAACATTACCCTAAAGGAAAAGAACCTATAACCTTTGACTACTTTATATTTTGTCTAATTTATTAATCACTAATTAGATATTGTTACCCACACTTAATATAGCCTAACTGTTCAAAACTAGCATTATTATAGCATTAGCGAAGTTAGCAATATAAATTTCAAATTGAACTTTAAAAGTGGATAAGTGAATATGTAATATCTTTGAATAATATTTCATTCTAGCGACTCACGGTCACTTCGCTTCGGGTTTGTCCTTAGACAGAACAAATCTACCCCATGGGAACCATACTTTTTTCCGGGATGATATGTAGCCTATAGCCTTTCTCAATAAAAGGACTATCTAATACAAAAAGAATTTTTCAAATCAGATAAGTAGTTCCTGGGATTAGCACGTGCAAACTAACAAACTCTCTTTATAATATTAGATATTAAATACTTTATGTAATACATTTATATTGCTTATCATTTTACAAAACTTAAATATATTTAAATATTTATATACCTATTGCAAAGTATCATACCAACTGAATATTACATTCATCACACTTATTAATTCTTGTTTAAAACATGTAAGAGCTTCCCAGACCAGCAAATATATAATCATATTTGGTCAAGGTCAACTAGTGCATGATAGAAATAAAAAAATAATAATATAATGTTTATTCTCATTTCCGTGTGGTACAGTCTTCATAGTATGAAGCTCATACATCGTGAGATTACATATTATTATTTACACTACTTTGTGTACTTTTCAAATAATTTTAGTGTCACGGCTTTCTTGGTATTTAGTAACTGATTGTTTCATTTATAGTGTTGAAATATTAAATACTAAATATTGTAAATTTGAAAGTATATTTTTTTGTTTTTATAGCTCCAACTACATTTAATTTTAAAATTTGGTGTGCACAGAATTAATTACATACTTCATAATATCAATAAAATGAAAGTTCTGTGAAACAAACTCAGTTTAATTGATACTGAGCCTTCTTATTGAAAGAAAAAATAAAATGAGAATTGACTAACATGTATCATGCATACCAGTACTACCTACAACAATTTAAATAGACTACATGCAGAGTGATGTTTACAAAAATATCTGTAATATAAAGTTTATTAATGTTAGTCGTTTTCTATGTAACTTTCGATCTATAATCATCATGCACCTAAGAGATGGAATATTAGTGATGCCAGATTTTTGATTGACAAGACCTGATAAGATCTTTATTTAGCACAAACATAAATTAATATAATAATTTGTACAACCCTATAAAAAAGAAAGTGTATTAGTAAATAGAATATTCTTGTTAGAAACCCTTCACTTGCATACATTTGAATTTAAAGTCCTTCCCACCTATACCTATTTATTTACTATATCTGGCAACACTAGATTATGTTCTACATGACAGCGACATATAGCATTCCCGCTATTATTGTGTTACCACTTGATTTACCATATCAATGTTATGGTGTTGTACAAACTCGACCCGATTATTGGGTACCTGCTGGGTTTGAGCTACTGCTAAAGGAGTGCTGCCACCTGCTGCTTCTTGTTGTTGACTATGCCCCACCAGAGTATCTGTAATTAATAAATTATACAACTTTCCAGATTACAATATACTACATATGTATGTATATAAAGAACTCAGTAAAATTGCAAATATTTTTTATTTTGATGCTTGTTGATAATGACAAAAGATTAAATTATATTTGAGAGAATAAAATGAAGAAATACATAATTTAATAATTACCATGCCCTTGTGTGGTTTGGTTTGCAATGATCTGTGATACAGGTATTTGTTGACCTGCTGCTGAAACTGTAACTTGAGGTTGTCCAGCATGTCCTAATATAATGTTAGGATCTCCATTTAAAATACTTGCATGAGCTTGACCAATATCCTGAAATACATACAAGGTTGAAACAAATGTTGCAGAGAAATTGTAGTTTAATCTATTTTAGATAATAAGAAACTTTAGATCCAATTTTAAAGCTTTGAATTTAACATATTCACATAAGAATAACTACACTATGTGCACAATCCAAATTATTGCCTGATAATTATCAATATGAAATAAAGGTAAATTACTGCAAATCAAGTCTTGTTATAATCACTACCTATTAGTTTTATTACCTGTACAGGCTTTCCATTTTCAATTCTTGCACCAGTGGGTAATCCATACACGGAAACTTGAGGCAATGGACCAGGAAATAAATTTGTAAACACCCAGTATTTAGCCACGCTCGACAAAGCAACGTTTACCGCCGCCGAGTTCACTCTCAAATCAGTAGCAGATGTTGTAGGAGTTAAATTATTCGTCTGTGCCTGCTGTTGTTGCTGTGTCGATTGAACTCTTTGGTTCTGAGACTGTAATTATCATACATAAACTAATTTAGTTACAACTATATTATAAGGTATCCACTAAAAAACAACAAGCAATGCGAACCTCAGAATTGCCTGGTGGTTGGCCACCACCCGTATTAATATTATGGTGATCCGGATTCATTTTCAGTCCTTTTAAATATTGTTATAGAAATCACTACACAATAGTTACAACAAAACAGTTTTCAGAATTTCACGTATCGGCATTGTCATAATTTGACTGGCATCGAAATGGTGGCGCGGGGGACGCGGCGGGCCGCCATTATGGAACTTAGCACACAATAACATTTTCTCAATGATCCTTGTAAGAATGATTCTCTAAGCACAATTACTATTACATAAATGTTAACCGAAGAAAACTGTTCATATTTCAATTACACATTTAATAAATTATGCTATTTAATAGTTATATTCGTAATTATTTCACAATTTCGACATTTTTTTACACATATTCACCATGAAAGAGGAATGAAAGTTTGTCATGACAAATGTTGCCAACTTTATAAATCTAGTTCAACTACACTACTATTAGCGTACATTTTGTACAGAAATAGAACTAATTTATATCAACTATAATTTAAATACTAATCATAATAGATTTTATGATTATTTAAATAATAAAAAATGTACAACCTAATAGAATAAATATAAAAGTATTTAATTTGATAGTTAAAGCTCGAGATTTCTGAATGACTCAACAGATGGCTCTTATTATGAAAAAATAATATCAGTTTAGGCAACCTTTAAAATCTAATTGTAAGTAAAACTAAAACTTTTAAAAGGGAAAGTTTTACGTATGAAAAGTGCAAGTTATACAAAAACAATTTTAAAATGGAAAAGCATTCCGTGTGATCTTTGAGGTATCCAATTAATACAACAAATATTGAGTAAAATAAAAATAAAATATTACTAATATTAGGTAGAAACATTCGTGTACTATTTTGTAGGTATATGAATGTTGCAATTTATATTTACTAATTATTTTCTTGCTTATTATTAGTATAGTAGGTACTTATTTTATTTCAGTAATGTATAATTAGGTACCTATTTAATTAAATTTAAACTCATCGCGGTGTATTGAAATCGACTCCATACTTTTCAAGTGCATGTCGCACCTTGATTCCAGAAATAAAACTTATTGTAAGATTTTTTTTAATAATATATAGCCACGTGCATACATGCAATGTAGCCTACATTACTTATTAATATATTGTTGATCAGAGTTTATTTTCAACCCTTTTAAACATATTATTCTGTACCATTAACGTTTGATTACATCCACAGTTACTAAGCTTCAAAGTTCAAGCGTAAGTTTTCTGTTTTTATATGTAGCAATATACTCTATGGCTTTCTGTTCGCGGTTTGCTTATTCGCTTCTTTAGGAGATAAAGTAAGTCTAATGTAAACATAAGGCGGCCATCACATTTTCAAATAAAATGGGTAGGTCATATTTGTTTGTAGACTCCTGACTAAGTAAAATAGGAAAGGTAGATTGACGTATATTTAATCTTTTATTATGGCGAATTTTTATAATAACTTTTTGTTCATGTGTGTTTCCTTAATAAAGGCTATATTAGCATTGAAATTATTATAAAATTATGTTTGTAATTTTACATCATTCGATCTAGTAATATTTGGACCTTATAATACATATCTCCTTGTAGGTAGTTGCATTTGATAGGTACATCGAACAATTAGTAAGTTAGATACTAAAGCAGTTATTACGATATTATCTGAAAAATAAAAATACCGTAAAAAAAGTGCGACATAGGAGTGTAACAATGCGATTTATTTGAAATTGTTTTCTTTATAACGCGTACCTAGTAAAAACAATAGAGCCTTATAACTTAAAAAAAATATGTAAGTATATTCCTGTAGAAATTTTTCTTAGAAGGTGCAGGCAATGCCACATTGGAATAATATAATCCATATTCCATACTAATATTATAAATGTGAAAGTGTGTTCGTTTGTTTGTTTGTTTGTTTGTTTGTTTGTTTGTTTGTTTGTTTGTTTGTTTGTTTGTCTTTCTTTCACGTCGAAACGGCTTGGCGGATTGTTTATGTGGAAATAGTTGATTGAGATTATCTCTTTCCCACGGGAAAACACGTTATAAATTATAATACATGCAAAAAATAATTTATGATCCGAATTACTTGAAACTTGGTATTAATACTCTTCAATATAATTAATTAAATACGTGTTTTAGCATTTTTCGAAATTCATCCCATAAGGGGGTAAAATAGCGGATGAAAGTTTGTATTAAACCTACTATTTTAGAGTTTTTTTTGTAGTTTTAACGCGAGCGAAGCCGCGGGTTCTGCTAGTAATCTATACTTTATTTGATTTCTATCTATCGACAATATCTACAAAGCTGAGGAGATTGATGGATATTGGATAGTCTCATCAATGAGAGAGGTTGTGAGCTATAGTTATTCTAAGTCTGTCTATCGCAAATCTCTCAAGAAATGCAAAACGGGCTATAATTTACAGCTTGAACACGATGTTCTATTCGTTCTCATACATAGTGGATCATATTAAGTGATTGTGAAATCTAAATTTTAAACCTGCTTTAAAAAGTGCAAGTATGCGTATATAGTAGTTTTGTGAATATTACTTTTATAATGTTCTCCTGACCGATTTCGGCCACGGTGGCCAGTTTCATTGAAACTAGCCTAGCCTGCTCTAGCGCCTAGATGCGCAGGAGATATTAGCGTACGAGTGTACGCGCAGACACAGATGCACTTCTCTATTCCTGTTACTCCCATAGTCCGATGGTACGATACTTCGATACGACCAATGAGATTTAAGGCGCAGGACCGATGGCTCTAAGTGCTTTCCTAGGCACGGGAGTGAAATACTGTCAATTTTCCAAACCGGGCTACTACTGAGAATGTCTTAACAGAAAATCTCAGTAATCAACCTGACTCGGGACGCGAACCCAGGACTTCAGCATCTACCTACGGCCGTACATGCTAGCCAGTAGACCACCGAGGCAGTTTTTACTTTAATAATGATGTCAGTTGTCACCACTAACTAATATTACTTTGACGATTGAAGTGACACGTGTCTACGAATATTTAATCGCGAAACGGTAAAGATTTTTCTCTTAACTGAAAAGTAAAATTGTTGTTTCTTGTTTTAATCTCAGTTTTTACGAGCTTTGTAGTAATTATTATTGCTTTGTTCATAAACTGTATAATTTATGGGTTTTTGACCAGATTATACTAACACAGATAATAATATCTACCTGCTGCACATAACTATCTATTTACCTAAATATTATAAAAACAAACTAAATAAAAACTATAGCGGGAGAAAAAGGGAAACTTTGAATTCTAGTTACCTACTCTTTACTGGCTTTGCATTTTTGATTGTGAAACCGTATTGTCCATGTACATATATGTTGCAACGGTATAGTCAACAAAAAAGGAAGTTTCAAAAATATTTTTTAAAATTTAATAATTTATTACATTACTAGCGACTTCTCGCTTCGCTCGGGTGCGTCTCTAGGCAAGAGTCGTTTCTGAGTAGAATCCTAATTCTTAAATAAAAAACTAATAGTTACTTCCTTATAACATCAGCTAACTGCCAGTGAAGGTCCCGTTAAAATCAGTCCCGCAGTTTCGGAGATTTGCCGGAAGAAACAAACAGACAGACAGACAAAAAATTTAAAAGTAGTGTTTTTCTTATAAATACGTTTTGAATTTCACATGCATTAATAAAAGCTGTTATTTTTAGATTACAAACAGACACTTCAATTTTATTTATCTGTGTTTTATTGTGATTATATTATAGTTAAAAATATAACTGGTTAAGTACTCCTGCTCTCACTATGTGACTAAATCACTCAGTAAATACTTCCAATTGGGGCTTCTACTTTCTAGTTAGTACCTTGTCACTCCTCAGCTTATAAAAAATCTATTGAAAAAATCAAATTCACGTCCATAAGTTGTTCTATTGCATCGAGAAATAAGGGCAAACCAAAAAAAAACAATTTCGCATTTATAGTATTAGCATGATTATACAATACCTATATAACGACAGGTAACATCCATACAGTATATATTATAATAAAATAGAACCAAAGCCAAATCTGTACAGAAATATTTTTTAAAACCTATCGCTGTTTCGTATTGCGTACAGTATATGTACCTACCTACCTACCGAAAAGTTGTTGAAATTGTCTGTTCGTCAGTATGTTTGTTTGTCTGTATGTCTGTCTATATACCTGTGTACATTCCACACAAAAACTGCTGAACGCATTTCAACAAAATTTAGTGTAGTGATAAGTTATTAATCGGGTCAACATTTAGATTACCTTTTACTACAGGAAAATCTAACATTTTTATTATTAGTTGTATTCAGCCCTTTTTATCGTCCCACTGCTGGGCACGGGCCTCCCTTCAGTACGAGGGGAAACAGGCCATAGTCCACCACGTTGGCCAAGTGCGGGTTGGCGGACTTCACATGTTTTTCGAAAACTTGCTAACTTCTCAGACATGCAGGTTTCCTCACGATGTTTTCCTTCACCGTAAGGCAAGTGGTAATCATGTTAGAAATGATTCGCACATGAAAATATCAGAGGTGCGAGACCCGGGATTTGACCTTCACTCGGTTTCTCAAGCAAGCGCGTTACCACTGGGCTACCACTGCCTATCAGTAACAGGGTTATGATTAACATATTTAACAATTTAGTGCGGTACCTCCCATTTTCATGGTATGTGTACATAGTATAAAACAAAATTGCTGTCTGCCTCTATCTGAGCGTTATACGACGGTTTGTGTATATAATTTGTAAATATTTTGTACAAGTCTCAGACGGTGTATGTCAAAAAAAAAAATTCTTGCGATTACATGGCCAACGCTGTTTAAACCTCTAGATATACATCAAAATTCAAAACAGTTTACTATAAAATTGTACATTAAAAAGCCTACAAAAAGCATTACATTACCGTGGCGATAGCATATGCGTCTCTCCTAATAACTCCTCACAATAACTATTTTTTATCTATATAAAACAAATATAGGGACGCACTCGAGCGAAGCGAGGGTGAATCGGTAGTTAAAAAATATAATGATAATATTATTATCAAGTGTTATATGTTAACCTTTCTTCAAAATTT